TTATAGGATATAAGATACATGAAAAGTTACAAGAATACACCTAAAGGTTACAAATATTAAGTGATGAATTAACTAAATACATGAACTCAAATGGTTCATGGAATATGGATGTTTAGGAGTATTCAATGGACATCCACTTTAATATATTCATAACATTCCCATTTGAATGTCCATCTAAAAGATAATGTGCCTCGTTAAAATGTTACTAGAAAAAAAAACCAGTGGAAAAAAGTACAGTGTAGGAAAAAAAGTACATACATCTTGTAATACGCATTGAGTGTTGCCTCATTAAAAACCTTACCAGGAAAACCAACTTGGGACAAATCTTGGTTAAAAGAAAAAGAGTACAGCGTGTACTATACTTCCCCTGATGAAAACTTTATTTGATATCTCGGAGACGATGCATTCCAATCTTATGTCTCAGCTTCTCAAATGTTGATGTTGGTAATGCCTTAGTGAATAAATCTGCCAGATTATTACTTGAACGGATTTGTTAAACATCTATCTCACTATTTTGTTGAAGATCATTCGTGAATAAGAACTTTGGTGAGATCTGCTTTGTTCTGTCTCCTTTGATATTGTCACGGCCCTAAGACCCAACCCGTTGTGATAGCGCCTATCATGGTACTAGGCAAGCCGATATTTCCAAAACAACTTCCAATATTTAACAGGAATGAGTTAAGACATTTAAAATAACCGTAGTTTGCCATAAAAACGGGATAAACCCAAAACATAAGTGCAGAAAGAAATAGCCTGATATCGGGGTGTCACTAAGTCATGAGCATCTAAATAACCAGTCTAAGATCAGAGTCTGCAACAGTCTGTATCAAATGCCAATACTGAAAAGAAAAGATAACAGAAAGGAGAGACAAGGACTCGGACGCGGACAACTACCTCGTAAGTCTCCGGAACTCAACCACGCATGAGATCAACGTCCACCATACCCGGAAACACCTGGATCTACACACAAGGTGCAGGGAGTAACATGAGTACTTCCAACACAATAAGTAACAATAATAAATAAGGAACTGAAGGAAATGATAAGCTACACAGTTATAGTTTATCTTCATTAATCTCAGTAAAGAATAGACATGCTTTCAAATTCGAAAATTTAAGTCAGATCAGTTTTAATCAGTTCACGTAAATCGGATATAAAGTCTTTTAGAAATTTCACAACAGTGACAAATAGAACCTAAGTGCAACAACAACAAATGAAAGCAAGTATAACCTCTTAGGGAAACTGTCACTCAACTCATCTCCACAGCTCAATCACTCGTCTTTCAGCCCTTAGTACTCACAATCAATAGGTACACGCGCTCACTGGGGGTGTACAGACTCCGGAGGGATCCTTCAGCCCAAACGCTATATCGTTGCGGCGTGCAGCCTGATCCATAATATATAAATAGCCATAAGGCTCGTTGCGGCGCGCAACCTGATCCATAGACATATATACATCCCTAAGGCTCGTTTCGGCGTGCAACCCGATCTATATACATACAATGCTCAGGCTCGTTGCGGAGTGCAACCCAATCTATAAATACTCAGATAGCTCACAGCTCGGCACTCAGTCCCTATCTCAGTTACAAATCTTTTTAGTCTCTCGGTCTCTCAAAAACCATATAAATCAACCCAAACACAGATAATAACATGTATCAACAAGGAACAAGAAGAGATAGAGGTATGATAAGCAAGTAAAGCCATGACTGAGTACAAGACATCAAATAGCAGCTATTTCAACAAGTACACGACCTCTACGGGTCCCAACAGTGACATCATATAGCCTAAGCATGATTTCTAACATGGATTTCAGTTCAATTTTTATAACACTGAGAGAAACATATAGGTAATAACAAGTTATTCCAATTTACGTTTCCACAGGAGGGCCAAGTCACAATCCCCACGGTGCACGCCCACATGCCCGTCACCTAGCATGTGTGTCACCTTCAAAGTAATCACATAGCACAACATCCAGGCTCTCGTGCCCTCAGGATCAGATTTATAACTGTTATTTACGCAATGCTTTGCAAACTCAGACATTCTCGAACGCGTCCCTTACCTCATGGACGCGTAGAACAAAAGGTTGGGATCCCCAACTAGCTCACTCCTCTTCGCGAATGCGACATCACTTACGCATTCGCGATGCACACGCTGCCATACCTTCGCGTTCGCGTCCTCACCTTCGCAAATGCGTAGAACAAAAACTCACCAGCTCAGAAACACTCTTCACGATTGCAAGGCTCCTCTCGCGAACGCATAAGAGGAAACCAGAAAAAATGCAGTAGCTGATATCAGTAATCTCATCAAGGCAAAAAATGATCCGTTAACCACCCGAAACTCACCCGAGGCCCTCGGGATCTCAACTAAACATACCAACACGTTCCAAAATATCATACGAACTTAGCCGAATCCTCAAATCACCTCCAACAACATCAAAACCACGAATTATACACGGATTCAAGCCTAATGAACTTTGAAATTTCTAAATTCTACAAACGGCGTCAAAACATATCAAATCACGTTCGATTGACCTCAAATTTTGCACACAAGTCATAAATGACACCACAGACCTAGTCCAACTTCCAGAAGTCCAATCTGACCCTGATATAAAAAAGTCCACTCCCAGTCAAATTTGCCAAAATTTTAACTTTCGTCAATTCAAGCCTAATTCTACTACGGACCTCCAAATCACATTCCGGACGCGCCCCCAAGACCAAAATATCTAACGGAGCTAACAGAACCATCGAAATTCAAATCCGACGTCGTTTACATATAAGTCAATATCTTGTCAACTTTTCCAACTTAAGCTTTCAAATAAGAGACTAACTGTCTCAATTCACTCTCAAACCTCTCCGGACCTAAGCCAACCAACCCGGTAAGTCATAATACAGTTGTAGAACACAAAAGAAGCAGAAAATGGGGGATCGGGGCTACAACTCTCGAAACGACCGGCCGGGTCGTTACAGATATATCCTCCTTTTAGTTGAGCTATGCAAACAGCATTATCTTCATACAATATCGTTGGAATATTCATTTTTAAAGAAAGACCACACAGTTGTTGAATGTGTCGAGTCACTGATCTCAACCATACACATTCTCGACTAGCTTCATGAATACTCCCTCTGTTCCAGTTTATGTGAACCTATTTCCTTTTTGGTCCGTTCCAAAAAGAATGAACCCTTTCTAAATTTGGTAACAATTTAGCTTAAAGTTACAACTCTACCCTTAATGAGAAGCTTTTATAACCACACAAATACTCTGGCCCCATTTGGACTTGTTTAGGACTACAAATTCCAAAAGTCTTCATTTTTTTCTTAAACTCCGTGCCCAGTCAAACAGGTTCACATAAATTGGAATGGAGGGAGTAGCTATTATCTTTGCATGATTAGAAGATGTAGCAGCTAAAGTATGTTTTGTTTAAGGCCATGAAATAATTATACCTCCGCAAGTAAATAGATAGTCTGTTTGAGTTCGGCTTTATGTGGGTCAAGTTGCCGAAGAAAAAGCAACAGAATTGTGTTCTATTTGGCAGACAGCTGTGGAAAATCCCAAATGGAATCCATTCAAAACTATCACCTCAAATGGGGAAGTTCGAGCAGTACGTATCTAAATCCTTTCTTCCTTCCTTGTACTTGTTTAATTTCATTTTTTAAAGAGATATTTTCAATCTGTTGGTACTTGTCCAACTGAAATAGAAAACTTTGGTTTTTCTTAATTTCAGAACATAAGTTCTTGGAAGCCAAGTTATAACTCATGTTTGTCAGATGATCCTGTCATAATAAATGAGTGACATGGTGCAACAAAAAGATTATGTTCAAACTGATTTCTCTATTTTCTATGGTCTAAATAACAACAATCAAGTTATCGATACAATTCGTTCGCTCTGAATTTCTCTCCTTCCCTGGAATTCCAACTGAACTATTCATCGGATGTCCCCTGAATCACATGATTTCATATTCAAGCATGCTTAAAACCATTATTTGTGCTTTAGGAAATGATAGACCATGAGGACAAGCATCTCCAGCAGCTGAGGAAAGAGTGGGGATATGAAGTATATATATTTAGTTGTTGCCATAGCCATGATAGAAATTAAAGAGTATAATAAGAAGGCCAGAACCACGACTCATCAGCTCTGGAATTTCAAAGAAGGTAGGAAAGCTACTCTAAAAGAAGCCATTTGTTTAATGGGGAAATAATTGAAGGAGCCAAAGATCAAAGATACAGGTATGCTTTGAGTGTCTTATACCCTTATTATGCTGTATTCTCCTTCAGCTTGTAGGTTCAAGTCAACTTTGCTTTGAAGTGTTCTTAGTCTTACAAACACCTTGTTATGTGACTCATTGAGGTCAATCAAACATGTAATGATAGGCTCTGAGTTACCGTTTAGTTGCCAGATAAGGTTAAGAGGAACACAAAACAGATTTTGTATAATAGCGTTAAGTATCTGAATAGCAAAAAAAGAAAAATGTATTAAGCTTTGTACCTTTGTATTATACTCGGGGAAGTTGATAGTTCAAAAGGGCAATAAGGACAAGGGTTTTAGTCAAGGCTCTTCCCTTTGCCTCGGACATTATGATTGAGAACCTAAAATCACTTTTTTCTTTTAGACCATTGCTATTAGCACTGCTCAAAATCTACTCCGATCATGAAATTTCAACCTATCTAGTAGCAGAATTCTGCTGGGCCCGACACTTTAGATTGAGTTGGTTTCTCTTTGCTTCTGATTCTACAACTGGAGGAAAAAAAATAGTAAAAGATTCTTACCCTTAGGAACGTACCATATTTTTGTTTGTTCTATGACCACCCTTTTTATATGTGTGAATTTTCATTGGATGTATGGATACTACAGGGAAAGAGTGTATGAGATATCAGTAGTGCCAAGTTAAAGTTTTCTTAATTAAAGACAAATAGAGACCAGAATTCGAGTCCTTATAGAGAGAAGAAAAGTTAGGTGATTTATTCTCGTCTGGCCATAGTTACCTGATATCTATACTGGTGGAAGAATGGAGGTAGCCGGTGGAATAGTCGAGGTACGCGTAAGTGATTTGAACAGTGAACACCACCATTATCAACCTTTTCTTTTTTGTTTAAAAAGCTCATGCAACTCCTTTCCCTCCATGAAGGAAGACAACTGGCCTGCAGTTATGCGTGTGGAGATTTTAGGTGCCATCCTTGGGTATCTTTGAAAGAAAATAGTATGGCTGTGTTAAATGCTTTTGAAATATGCAACAAGTATTCGTCTCTCTAATAGAAAAGTATGCATTGGTGTAATAGAGATATATGAAAAGTATGCATGTGTAATGAGTTACACTTTCTCTAGTTAGGATTTGTCAAGGTGGATCAGTTGAAGCCAGGGACAGCGGGCAAGAATCTAATTGTCAAAGTCCTAAATACTGATGTGGTGGTTGACAAGAACCAAAACAGCAGGTTGCAGTCCCAATCGCCATGTGTATATTCTCAACCGCAAATCACACGTGTAGCTGAGACCCTTGTTGGAGATGAAACCGGAACTATCATATTCACCACTCGTAACGAACAAGGTAGTGTCAATATTCTTCCTTTTGTTGCCTTGGCGTAAGTTCATTTTTTATGAACTAACTGCATTCTGAGTCCTGGATTTGCCGCATCTAGCTCTCCACTATCAAGGAACAATAAAGGATATTGTTCACAAATTTGATTTCTATTAGCTCAATACCTATTGCTTGTGCTTATGATAGCTCTGGTTTTATCATGTAGTTGACTTGATGGAGCCAGGTAGCATCCTACTCCTTTATGGTGCAAAAGTCCAAATGAATCGAGGCTTCATGAGGTTAGCTGTAGAGCATCATATACAAATCATAATCGCAGAACCTGTGGAATTGGTTGTAAATGCAGATGATGATTGTAGTATGTCTTTAGATGAATATGAGGTAATCCGGAAATATTGATGATGAAGAAATAGTTCCACCATTCATCACCTTAGACCTGCAGGACAGCTCTGCCTTAAGAGCGCCTGTGTGTATATCTTTGGTTTTTTTTGTTGTTCCTCCTGTATTTGTAAAATAATGATTATGGAAATTAAAACGTTAGCATATTAATGTAAATATAAATGATATAAATGAAACACAAATTAATTCGAGCCCACTGAATTTACAGTGTTTCCTTAAGGAATTTAATCCCCTCCTAGTACCCAAGGTTATGAATTATTTCCTCCCAGAATAGAACGAATTACACACTGGTGTAGCGGTACTTCAAACCCCAATGTTTCAGCGAACACAAAGTTCGGCAGCAAATCACACTTACTGTTGCTTTCTTAGTAGTTTAAAACAATGCA